TTTGATTCTGGAGTTCATTTTTTAAAATATTTTATTATTTTTATTTTATGTGTATGAATGTTATGCCTGCATGTAAGTAAGTACACCCATGTTGTGCAATGCCCAGAGGACAGAAGAGGCTGTTGGATCCCCTGGAACTGGAATTCTGGACAATTGTTAGCTGCCATGTGGGTGTGGGATTCGAACCCGGGTCTTCTGCAAGAACAGTCAGTGTTCTTAACCGCTGAGCCATCCCTCCAGCCCCTGGAGTTCATTTTAAAAAATATTTATTATTTTTATGTGTATGAGTGTATTGCCTGCATGTATGTAAGTGTACCAATGTCATGCAATGCTCGCAGAGGTCAGAAGAGGGTGTCGGATCCCTGGAACAGGAATTACAGACAGTTGTGTGTGCTGGGAACTCAACCAGGGTCCTCTGCAAGAAGAGCCAGTGCTCTTAACTACTGAGCCGTATCTCTAGCCCCTGGAGTTCATCAATGGGCATTCAGAAACCAACTTGTACTGCTGCCAAACTTTCCACACTCTTACATTCAGTCACATGACCCCACAGGAGGTTAAGAGCCTCAGTTTAGGAAGTTGTGCCCTAAACAACAAATGCTTGGGGGCTGGAGAGATGGTTCAGCATTTAAGAGCACTGGCTGCTCTTGCAGGACCTGGGTCAGTTCCCAGTACCCACATGGCAACTAACAACTGTCTGTAGTTCCGGTTCCAGGGGATCCGACACCCTCTTCTGACTTCCTCCAGCAGTGCACAACATGGGTGCACCTACCTATATGCAGGTAATACACTCATATTCATAAAATAAAAATAATAAATAAGCTGGGTGTGGTGGTGCTCACCTTTAATCCCAGCACTTGGGAAGCAGAAGCAGGTGGATATCTGTGGGTTCAAAGACAACCTGGTCTAAATAGTAAGTTCCAGGCCACCTGGGGCTACTGGGAGACCCTGTCTCAAAAAATACAATAAATAAGTAAATACATACATACATACATACATACATACATACATAAAATATTTAAAAAACAAACAGCTAGGTGTGGTGGCCCATACCTTTAATCCCAGCATTCGGGAGGCAGAGGCAGGTGGATCTCTGTGAGTTCAAGGCCAGCCTGGTCTACATAGTGAGTTCCAGGATAGCTGGAGCTACAGGGAGACCCTGTCTCAAAAAGACCAAAATAAATAAATAAATAAAATAAAAACCAAACAAACAAATGCCCTTCCCTGAAATAAGAAATCTAGTCGCCGGGATAGCTCAGTGGGTAGAGCATCAGACTTTTGATCTGAGGGTCTAGGGTTCATGTCCCTGTTCGGGCGCTCATTTTTGCCAGGCATGGTGGCACACACCTTTAATCCCAGCACTTGGGAGGCAGAGGCAAGAGGATCTTTGTGAGTTCGAGGCCAGCCTGGTCTACATAGTGAGTTCCAGGACAGCTGGGGCTACAGGGAGACCCTGTCTCAAAAAGACAAAAAAAAAAAAAAGAAATCTAGTCAAGCAGAGGCAGCACTTTGATGGTTGTTGTTATTGCTTTTTGGTTCTTTGAGACAGGGCTCTATGAGAGTAGAAAACTTTGTATATACAATTAAATAAATAATAAATAAATAAATAAATAAATAAATCTGCAATCTATAACATAATACTGGCCCAAGCTGACTGAAAACTTACCATGTAGTTCAGAATGACCTTGAGCTCTTGATCCCCCTATGCTACCACATTGCTGCTAGGTGGCATATTTCAGTGTGCCCCTTTAGTCATCTTGCTTGAGTTCTAATCATGTCACCTGGGGCAAGATTCCTGACTATTTTGTGCCTTAACTTCTCAACTGTAAATTGGGTGCAAAAGTAGATCCCACCCTATATAAATTAATGTATTCCAAGCGTTTGGAGCAATGTCACATGCATTAAGACAATGTACAAATGTCATCTGTGATTGTCATTGTTATTATTTTGGTGAAGAGCTTCTGTCCCCTGTTTGTCTTAAGGGTGGGAAGCACCACTGATTTGGTGGAGTAGAGATTGAGTAAAGATAAATTAATACAGTTTAGTCCTAGGTAATGAAGCTTGATCCCAGAACCCAAGAACTGGCACCTTTCCCAACCCAAGTCTGTAGACTCCTGAAGTCTTTATTATTCTGTTCTTTTGTGAGAAATGGAGGTAGCAAGAAGAAAGTCCCAGATTAAGAGACTGGAATGGAAAACAAAATGTTGAAGCAGAAATAAACAGAAAGGGTTGAGGCTTGCTTACAGTCCCTTTAGTGATATGGATCTTGTCCTGTCTCGTTTATCCAGGCTATCATCCTCTTATCTGGTAGGTTCTAACACACTCATAACAGGTCTCCTCCAATTACACTTACATTGATTTTAGCCCAGTGCCTCTGGAGCACCTGTTCTCAACTTTGATAGCAAGTTGGAATCACTGGGAAAGCTTTATAAATAACTGATATAACCACCCTGGGATTCTGATTTTGTTTGGGGATGTGACCTTGGCACTAGTATTTAAAAGTTCTCCAAATGATTCTACCGTGAGATTGTGAATCACTGCCCCAAAACTGCAGATGTAGTAAGTAGCTTAGTGGTGGAGTATTTGCCTAGTATACCCAAAGTCCTGGGTTCAGTCCTCATCACCACCAGAGAATTATTGTCTAAGTGTGGATCTAGATCACTGGGGACCTTGTTAAAATGTAGATTCCATTGGTCTCCATAGTGAGTTACAGGCCAGCTGTGGCTACAGGGAGACCCTGTCTCAAAAAGACCAATAAAATAAATACATAAAAATAAAATGTAGATTCCAGTTTTGTAAGTCCAGAGCTAGGATCTGAGGTTCTGTATATCCAACAAGCTGCCAGGTGATACTGATTTCACTAGTGATCCTTCTCTGTCCCTAGACCACACGTTGAGTAAAAGCGTAAAACTTTGAGAGTATGGCCATATGATTTCCTGTTCAAAAACATCACAGGCTTCATCTTAGGCATGGAAGCAGATGCCTTAGCCCAGCACCTTAGGCTGGCATTAAGGCAGCTAAGGCTCTCTAACAGTGGCTCTGGTCACCTGAATGACCTCAGGCATATTTAAAAACATACTGATTCTTGCCCCACACCAGATCTATTGAATCACAACAGTCTGTATAAGGGTATTTTGAAAACAGTCTCTAAGTAGTGCAGATGATCACCAAACTTTTGAAATGCCAAGTATGCTTCTAATATAGTTTTACATTAATTCTTGGGCTTTTTTGAGGCAGGAGCTCATATAGTCCAGACTGGCCTTGAACTTATTATGTAGCTGAGAATGACACTGAATTCCTGATCCTCCTGCCTCCACTTCCTGAGTGCTGGGATTATAGCTGTGAATTAGCATGCCTGGCTTACTTTTTTATTAATTCAGCTGACAAACATTCATTGTACCTGTTCCATACTAGGTTCTAGGGAAACAGATGAAAACAGTATCATCTTTGTCTTTGAGCAGTTGGAAAGATAAATAACTCAAACAAGAATATTTAATATTTTCAGGCATGGTCTAAACACATCTGTGATAAAGGTCTTCTCTTCTGAAGAATGCATGTGCTCCTTAGTACCCATCATCTTAGCATTCCATCATTGTCTGTCGAGCAAAAGTCAAACTCCCCTCCTTACCCCATTATCCCACTTAATATTTTCTCTCTTCCTCTCCTTCCTCTCTGTTTTCATTTTGAGACAGGGTATCCAGGCTGGCTTCTAAATCACAATCCTTCTGCCTCAGCCTCCCAAGTGCTGCCATTATAGGTGTGCCTCACTATACCAGGCTCATAATTTTTTCTTCAAATTTATTATCATTGGACTCAGAAACAAGGATTTGTCTGAAAATGAAATAAAGGTCTGGGAATACAGTTCAGTGGTAGAGTACTTGTCTAACACGTTTGAGGCTTCTGGTTTAATCCCAGTCTTGGAAAAACAACTCCAAACGTGAAATGAAAGCAACATATGGTATTTATATAGTGACAGTCATTGTTCTATGCATTTTAGAAATATAACCTATTCAAATTCTCACAATAGTCTATGAGAGAGGCATTACTCTCTGGTTTTGTGGATGAGAGAAAGGAGGCACAGAAACCTAACTTGCCCAACTGCATACCAGCAGAGTTTACTTTTTTTTTTTTTTTTAATGTGTGTGTGTCTGCATGTGTTGGAACACTTGTGCTCCTCAGAGGCCAGTAGAGGGTGTTGGATCCTTGCAGCGGAGTTATAGCAAGTTGTGAGTTGTCTGATGTGGATACTGAGAGCTGAACCCCGGTTTTCTGCAAGAGCAGCAAAGACTCTTAATGGCTGAGCCATCTCTCCAGCCCCTTCCTGATGTCTATGCCCATTTGGAGACAGTGCTGAAATGAAAATAATTTATAATTCCCAGGTCTGAGCACTTTCCTGGAAATCAGTCATTTGTGAGTTTGTTTCACAACTCTGATTCAAGCAGGAGGGCAAAAAGAGAGTCTTGTATCTCCCATTTTACATAGTAGGTTGCGAGTACTTAGTTGGTGCTCAATAAATGCTTAATGGAGCGACTGTACCATCATTTGGGGGCAGAATGGATACTGATTTATTTATTGAGCGAGGAGCGTCCTAGAGATTGAACCCAGGGCCTCATACATGTTAGGCAAGCAGTCTACCACGGAGAAGCCAGACACTCTCTACATCCGTACCCCCCAAAGATTTAAACAGACAACAAATAAGAACAACGGCCTGCAGATCTTACGTCATCGTTAGAACGCCTTCCCCTTCCCTGCCTAAAGTAGGACCCTCCATCCAGCTCGGTTTGCTGAGGTTCCAGGCCCAGCACAAGTTCTGCGCGCTCCGTCCTCCCAGCCAGCAGGTGCCCCCAGACCCCGGCTCCTCCTCCGGCGTCGTCACAGCCTCGTCTCTCCCCTCACCCTCTGCAGCTTCCTGTCCCCGCGATCCCGGCCCAGGGCTGTGGGTACCGAGGCTTCCCGGTGCGCTCCCAGGTAACTGCGCTCGCTGCGCGGGATGGGTACCTGCCTGCAGGCGGAGGAGGAGGCGGGCGATCCTCCAGGCCGCGGGGCGCACCAGGCTCCTCCTGCCCTGGGGCGCCGCGGCCTTTTTGCGCCAGGCTCCGGGCGCCCGGCTGGATGCTGAGATAACGGTCCCAGAATCATGCGATCTGGGCTGGGAGGCGGGCGTGGCTGCGGGCCTTGGGTACGTCCACCCGCAAAGGATGCGACTTTACTTCTGGCTCGGCGCCCCAGGCTCCAGCTCGCAGGCTGCCGGCCCAGCGCCACTCATCGCCGGCCTGGCCAGGACCAGTAGCCTGGAAGGGGGAGCCCGGAGCCGCCTAGCTACAAGGGCCTGGGAAATATCCAGACCCCACACCAGACGCGCAGTCTCAAGGTCACCGAGCTGCGTCTGCCATTTACAAATGCCTGCTTTTACTGGGGTTGTTTGTAAATGGACTACTGTTTTTCCTCTCGGGCCAGGGAATTAAGATTCAGAGAAGAATACTCTAAAAATACTAATCGCCATGTCTCAAAGAGCTGATCCGCCTTACTGGCCGGTGACCCTGGCCTTTGAATGGAAATAAGGGGGACAGCTCTTTTCACTCGGGTACTTTGTATGTCTGGCTGTTTCTCTGAAAATATTGGCTTAGAAGTTTTAGAAAATTCTTCTTCAGGTCCTTCTTTTGTTTTTGAAAACAAGCTCTACAGGTTGAAGTGATTTCCCCCACACGCAGGTTTATGCTGGACACCTACTGTCGTCTTGAATGGGAATCTGATTTCTGATGAAAGCTGGACAGAATTTGACCTTGGGTCAATCCGTCTTTGGATAGCATTCCTGGGAGTGGCTTGTGTATTGAAGTGTGTTGGTCTGCAGATACTATTTCATTTGTCAGAAAAGGTTGAGCAGTGAGTGTGTAGCCATGCAGAAAATTCCTGCAGAGATGAGACACATAGCTGACATGTTTGGGACTTTTTTATTTGTAGTTTTAACAGAGGAGCTAATATATATTAATAATAACATCTTAGTCATTTTTTGGAGCATAGTTCTATATGGCTAAATTAACTCAGTATTGGCTGTTCTTCTCTAAATGTATTTGTATCACTAAGAATTTTCATGGCGTTTTGTGACTTTTGAAAGTCTTGTTATCTAGCCATGCCTGGCTGGCTTGGAACTCACTATATAGACTAAGCTGGGCTTGAACTCTAGGCAATCCTGCCTCTACTGCCCAAGGGCTGGGATATCAACTGCTTACCGCTATGCCTATCTCCTTTCCTTCATTTTAATTTTTTTCTTTTCCTTCACTTTTAACAGAATAATTGCCTTAAACGTATTAAACATTTATTTTATTTTATGTGTCTGTTTTGCTGCATCCAAGTGCACCATGTTGTGCATTGCCCATGGAGGACAGAAGAGAGCATCAGATCTCCTGAAACTGTAGTTAAAGATGGTTGTTAGCTGCCATGTGGGTGCTGGGAACCAAACCCAAGTCCTCTGCAAGAGCAACAAGTGCTCTTAACCACTGAGCCATCTCTCCAGCTCCATTACACTATTTTTGTATTTCAATATTTACTCAAAATCCTTTTGTTTCCCTGGTAATATTATAATGGAGTTGGATTTCAGAACTCCCACCACTTCTAAGATGTCTGGATTCTTTGCTTAGTGCTATATTTAGGTTTGCCCAAGTTTTGATTTTGTCTGATAAACCTATGAGCCGAAACCAGACCTCAGTTGAATTTAGTTTCAGCTTAACCACATTTCAAAATGCTTGGTGACATGTGAATTCTAGCAGAAACCAAAATGGTATTTTGTTTTTTTTCATGAGAGTTTTTCCTCCCTCCCGGTGTGTGTGTGTGTGTGTGTGTGTGTGTGTGTGTGTGTGTGTGCATGTGTGTGTACATATATGGAGGCCAGGGGTCAATCTCTGGTGTCATTCCTTAGTTGCTCTCTTCTTTCTTTTAGACGTTTCTCAACAGGGATTCTACATCCCCAGTGCTGGGGTTACAAGTGTGCACCACCATGCTTTGCTCTTTTACATGGGCTCTGAGAATCAAACTCAAGTCCTCATGTGCAGCAAGCCCTTTACCAACTGAGCTGTCTTGAGCTGTCTCCCTAGCCTCCTTCCCTTTTTGTGATACTAGGGATTGAACCCAGAGCCACATACATAAAAGGCAAGTGGTATCCCACTGAACTAGAAACATAGCCCTTACAGCTTTCATATATATTTACATATAGTATATATATTTTTGAGACATAGTCTCTATAAGTAGCTCAGGTTGGCCTTGAATTGCTGTGTAGCCCAAGCTGCCTTCAAAGTCGAGATCCTCCTCCTTCAATCTCCTGAGTAGCTGAGATTATAGGTGTATACTACCATGCCTGGCTAGTGCCGGGATTTTTGAAACGTGAACACATTATCAGATACATGTGCTTTATTGTTCGTGTATCATTGTCCAAAGCCAGTGATCTCTAGAGGGTTATTATTGGCGTTTGCTCATCATTAGTTAAGTGTGAAGTTAGCCTACTGGCTCAGAGTGCTGTTCCTGGCTTTCAGTTCATAGCTTTCATCAGGTGCCAGCATGGTATCTCTAAGGGATCTGGAGTTATAATATAGCAGTCACACTTACGTAGAAGATTCTTGGATACATATGTAATAAAGTGTTTCAGTAAAGGCCGTGTCTTCATAGCATTCTATAGCAGCAATTCAGGCATAAACACAAAATGACCCGCTGCTGTTTTCTTAGGGTGCATCCTTTGTTTTTCTGGTTTTGGTCTCTTCGTCATAGGATGGCATTAGGTCTGTGTCTGCAGGTGCTGTGCAGCCTGGGTGGCTGGCTCTCACTCTATACATCTTTCTGCCACCTGAATAAGCACCGAAGCTATGAGTGGAGCTGCCGGCTGGTGACCTTCACCCATGGAGTCCTCTCTATAGGCCTGTCTGCTTACATTGGCTTCATTGATGGCCCTTGGCCTTTTACTCATCCAGGTAGGTAGAGGGAACAGTAAAGGTTTTTCCTTAGTGATTTATGATTTGGGGGCTAGTCTTAGAATGGAACTTTAAAATGAATTTTTATAATATTGACGAATACCCCCATTCTAAGTTGTATTGATGTCTTCATTGTTAACTTTGATACTTTGATATTGTATATGTCACCTAGTGTTTCTGCTTTTCATAACTCTATCTTTTTGTGATACTAGAGTTCAATCATTTTTTCTTTTTGTAATATTTGGGATTGAACCTAGGGCTGTGTACATGTCAGGCAAGTTCTCTGTCATTGAGCTATATAGCTATATTCCTAGCTATGTCCCTGTGGTTTTTTTTTTTTTTTTCATTTCTTTTTTATTTTTGAGAGGATCTCACTAAGCTGGTCAGGCTGGCCTGGCTTTGAATCATTCTGTACCCCAAGGGTGACAGTGAGCTTATGATCTTCCTTCTGAGTAGCTGAGATTATAGGCCTATGCCAACAGACCTGGCTCTTTCTTTTCTTTCTTTCTTTTTCTTTCCTTCTTTCTTTCTTTCTTTTTTTCTTTCTTTCTTTCTTTCTTTTTTTTTTTTTTTTTAGAAAGAGAAAGGCTCTTGTTTTATAGCCCAGGCTAGGCTCAAACCTTCTATTAAACTGAAATGAAAAAATTCTTAAGTTTTGTGTTTTATAAGAAGGTACTTAATGATTTTTAAATATGGCAGATGCTTGCACCTCATGTTCTTGGATATGAGGACAATCTGATTTTGGGGGTTCTCTCTGGAGTCTACTTTCAGGATGGGTTAGGGCTGCCAGTGTCCAATAACCTAAGTTAATAAATGAAGTCTAACATGCATGACAAAGTGACCCAAGAGTTTGGAAACAGACCTTTAGCTGCCTAATGAGTGTTGAATGTCCGGGCACTCAGGAGGCAAAAGCTGCTGTATCTCTTGTGAGATCAAGTTCCAAGCCAGCTGGGGCTACAGGGAGACTGTGTCTCAAAAAGACAAAAAAAAAAAAAAGTGGAGAATGAAGGCTTAGCATTTTCACTGAAACAACAAAATAACTCAATTTTATGTTGTTCTGCTTGATGCTTGAGTCATTCATTGATGTCTTTGAGGGTTTTCCCCCATTTTTGTTTTGAGAGAGGGTCTTGCTACTTTCCCTGACCATACTCTCTAGTTCCTGCCTACAATCCCAGCCCTCAGAGGCTGAGGCAAGGGATTGCTGAAAGTTCAAGGCCAGCCTGGGCTACATAGCAAGTACTAGGAAGACTATGTCCCCAAAAAATATAAAATAAGAAAGACTGTAGTTTTAGACATTTGTCTTATTTTATTTTATTATTTTTATTTTATGTGTATGTGTATATTGCCTGCATGTAGATAAGTGCACCCATGTCATACAATGCCCACGGAGGTCAGAAAAGGCTGTTGGATCCCCTGGGACTGGAGTTTCGGACAGTTGTTAGCTGCCATGTGGGTGCTGGGATTCGAACCCGGGTCTTCTGCAAGAACAACCAGTGTTCTTAACTGCTGAGCCATCTCTCCAGCCCGTCTTTGGTTTTCTGAGATAGGGCCTCATGTAATCCAGGCTTAGCCCTGACTCCCTATGTAACCAAGGCTGGCCTTGATGTCCTGATCCCCCTCCTTCTACCACCCAGATGCTGGGATTATAGGGAAGGCTAGATGGTAGGTTTTGTTGTTGTTATCATTAAAAGCTTGTGCTTATCACTGCTTTTGTCCTCTTCAGATAGTAACAGAGGATTTTCTCTGCAGGTGGCATGATGCCTAGTCACTCAGTTCTTCTGTCTTGGTTTGTTTCAGGCTCACCTAACACACCTCTCCAAGTTCATGTTCTGTGTCTCACCTTGGGCTACTTCATCTTTGACTTGGGCTGGTGCATCTACTTCCAGTCTGAGGGTGCCCTGATGCTGGCTCACCACACACTGAGCATCTTAGGCATCATCATGGCCCTGGCACTTGGAGAGTCAGGCACAGAGGTCAACGCGGTCCTCTTTGGAAGTGAGATCACCAACCCGTTGCTACAGATGCGCTGGTTTCTCCGTGAAACAGGGCACTACCACAGTTTCACTGGAGATGTGGTGGACTTTCTCTTTGTGGCTTTGTTCACTGGTGTGAGGATTGGCGTAGGAGCCCATCTCCTTTTCTGTGAAATGGTCTCACCCACACCCAAGTGGTTTGTAAAAGTTGGGGGAGTAGCCATGTACACTGTGTCTTGGTGTTTCATGGTTAGCATCTGGCGTTTTGCGTGGAAGAAAAGTATCAAGAAGTACCATGCGTGGAGAAGCAGACGGAGTGAAGAACGACAGCTGAGACACAATGGATATCTTAAGACACACTAGGCCAGAGCTTGATCCCAATAATAGATTGGGTTGAAGTGACCGTGGGAACTGGATCAGAAACAGAACTGTTACTATAGAACGGAGCTCATAATACACATAGGTTTTGAAAAAGGGCTAAATATATTGATCTCTTTGGTCAGTTTCCAAGCTAAGCACATGCAGTATTAAAACACTGACTCCTGCAGTGGCACCTGTAGAAAGTGCACATCCTCAGTGATGACTGGGAAGAATGCAGTGAGGTGAGGATTATTGCTATTTATCTTGGGGTCCATGTTCCTGGGAGCCTTGATATCCAAACAACTTTGAAAAGAACTTGAGTAAGATCAGTGCTGTCTCTTGTTCCTTTACAAGTAATTCCTTCCCTACCTGTTCCTGCTTTCCATGCACATTTCATGACTGATCACACCACGTACAACAAAGAGAGGGACTCTCAGGAAGGGCCAAGTGTTGGACATTCAAACATTACATCTGTGAATGGGACGTGGTTATGCAAAGAGAGACAGAAGGATGTGAGTGAAACTGGCAATGGTAGCCTCCTCCTACTCTATCAGAGGTTCCCAAGAAGGCTCAGGGCTCAACTATAGTCTCACAGCTTTGATTTATGAGAGTGAAAGGATACAAAGAAAACTTAGCAAAGGGAAAAAGCACCTTAGGCAAAGTCCGAGAATATCCAGGCCCAAGTTTCTAAAGTCTTCTCGCATTTGGCTATACAGGACATATATTTATGACATCATCAAAGACCCAGGACTTTTACTAGTGACAGGGCACATAGGTAGCTTCTGCCTAGCACATGGCAAAATTTAAGACTCCCCCAAACAGGCATTCAGCATAAGCCACCTTGCTTGTAGAGAGTTTAGGAGCGGTGAGCCAGTCTTATCAGTGGTGGGCCCCTCTCAGTCGTAGTGTTCAGACCAGTCAAGGGCCAACCTTGCAAGCAGGCCTTTCCAAGGATAGCAGTTTAGGCTTGTTATGTTAATTCTTATGTGCACAAAAATCATAGATCTAGGGCTTTGGATGCAAGATGAATGAGGTGTGGGTAGACTTACCAAGTCCTGTTGTGCGAGTTTTGCCCTACCAGGAAAACTATGCCAGTTCTCAGGGCTTTAGTGAATTAATCGCCTAGGCATGAAAGGCCATGACTAAATTCCATAGGGATTTACCATGTGGATTCCACTGGACTTGAGATGGGAGTTCAGGTTTCAGCTCTGTAGTATATATTACAAACTAGAACCAAAGATTTCAATGAGGGTACTGGCCTCAGGTGATGAAGCTAATTTATTTCCCTTCCTTCCTTCCTTCCTTCCTTCCTTCCTTCCTTCCTTCCTCCCTTCTTTCCTCCCTTCATTCCCTCTTTCCTTCTCCCTTCCTTCCTTCCTTCTTTCCTTTCTTCCTTCCTCTTTCCTTCCTTCCCTCTTTCCCTCCCTCCCTCCCTCCTTCTTTCCTTCCTTCCTTCCTTCCTTCTTCCTTCCCTCCCCTCCATCCCTCCCTCTCTCCCTCTTCTTTCCTTCCTTTCTTCTTCCCTCCCTCCCCCTTTTGTTTCAGATATATTCCTTTTATCACTTTATATATTTTAGACAGGGTCTTGCTTGTATAGCTCAGGCTGACCTTGAACACTCCATCTTCTTGCCTCAGTCTCCCTCCTTAATGCTGGGATTACAGGCTCTAATGTAGGGCTTTAATGAAAAAAAAGTTATTATTCGTTTACATATTTGTTTATTTTTACTATGTTAGAATAATGGTTAACTCAGTTGGTAAGCCAGGGAATGGTTCTACTGAAGTAAGGCAGGAAGTCAGCAAGAAGTGTCAGTCCATTCCATAGTCACTAGTAGTACTGAGTCACCTTGCAAATGGGTGTCATTAACTTCAGAAACCAGTCATGGGGGAGTGGTTGGAACCACATAGTCTTTCTTGCAACATTAAGGCTGTGTTAACAGTGGGAACTTTAAGGTGGCTGTTATGTGGTTAAAGAGGTTATTTTTTTTTTGTTTTGTTTCTGGACAGATAGCACCTATGCCCCCTTTTCTATGATTAGTGTCCCAAATATGCTGATGAGCTCCTTTTCAGTGAAATTGTGGGCAAAATTGGATGCTTGGGAATGCTGATTTCAGCAAAAGCTTAGACAAAAACAGTGGCTTGGTGCATGAGGTTTAAAAAAAAAAAAAAAAAAGGAAAGAACTGGCTTTTGAATTTTGGCACAGTACAACCTGTTCCACACCAGACAAGTGAATAAGCTTAATCTAATACTGGTCCTTTTCTCTCTTACCCCTTCAGATTTTGCTATGTGAGGCACACTCATGGGAATGTATGTAGGTTTTAATTTATTTATTTTGTGATAATGAGACCCCTGAACAAGAGAGGGGGAAGGAATCCCTTACTTCAGCTTTTCTGATGCTGTAACCAATAACCATAAAGAAACTTCTCTGAGAGAAAAATATGAAGATGACTCAGCAGTTAAGATGTTGCATTTTTTTATATCACTGATAAATGAAGGGCTAATTAACTTGTGATGTGTCCCCCAGAAAAATATTCATTTACATATGAATTACTATGTAATCATAATTGATGCTGCTCAAGAAGAATTTATACTTCAGTAAGATTTGTACTAAATTTTATAAAAATCAAAAAAATAAAATAACTTTTTATAAACTCAGAGTCTGCCTTTGTATCTTTGTTGTGGTTTTGCCAAGAAGTTAGAAAAAGCTTTTTGGGCACCCTCTCCTCATACTTACTGGTGATAGTAATCTGTTTAGATTATTTCCACCATTTTTTAAAAATATGGAAGATAGCAATCAGCATACAGAAAATAGTTTACCTAAAGAAGAAAAACAGCATTCTGATTTTGTCACCTGTTTGATCAGTGCAGTTTCTTTGCAGTGCCTTAAGCATGCTAGCTAGGCAAGCACTCAACCACTGAGCTAGAGCTGGAGCCCCAGCCCCACCCCTTTTTTCAAGACAGGGTCTCAATATGTAGTATAGTCTGGCTTGAAACTCACATGTAGTAAAGGCTGCCTTCAAATTCAGAGCAAACCTCCTGCCTTAGTCTCCTGATTCTGGGATTATAGGTGTGAACCACCATACCCACCTAGACAGTGGATTTCTAATGCTTAGCTCCGTCCCAGACACAGCATGTGAATAAGCATGTGAAAAGAATGGAGGAGAGGGTGAGTGTGGCTTAGACTAAGTCCCATTGGAAAAGTGCCTTTCCAGTAGATTGGGGCACCGGTGCCCCATTTCTAGGTAAGTGGTTAGGACCTGGGGAAGGGTCCTTGTGTGACGCTCCTGAAGGCATTCCTTAGACCACTGAGGACAAGGGAGCTGCCAAGAGCTATAGAGACTTTCTAAAGACTTTTTTTCTCTAAATCACTGCCTTATGAGTGATTATAGTGATTTCATCATTAAAAAGTAGTTTTAGAATGAATAACCACTGATTATTTAGTCCTTTGCTGACCATCTCCTGAAGCTTTCCCATAGCAAAATGCCTATTTTGCTCACAGCTAGAACGTTGGGTCTGTTAAATTTGGAAAGATCTTAAAAGCAGCTCGCCAAGAGGTTTTGTATGCAAGGAAGAGAAGGTGAATTAGGAAAAGTTCCCGTTTGTTTTATTCCGAAGCTTCAGTACTGAGGCTTACTTGAAGGGAAGATGGGAACTCATTTTTAAAATTCATGATTTGATGAGTCATGAGATCCCATTCATTTGATACTTGCATTGTAACACTATTAAACAGGAGGAAAGAAGACATTTGGTACACTTAAGAAAACTAGTAAGCTTGGGGGTAAAGTGTGCATTTTGTTTATAACAGAGATTCTTATGAAACTGGTTCCAGTTATAGGTAGGAATAATTTAAGTGGGAGTCTTCAAGATAGAATTGCCACATTTGGACACACCAGCAGGTGGCAATGTATCCAGGTCAGACCATTGGGAAAATGGCTTGGAACTCTTCTGCTTCTATTCTTTCCAAAAATAAACATTACAAAATTAGCTGGCTGTGCCCTGAACCTAAAAAAAAAATAAAAAAATGAGCGGGTTGGCCCCGAAACTAAAAAAAAAAAAAAAAAAAAAAAAATCCAGCAATAAAGAGTCATCTCAGGCCTCTGTTTATCTTTTCCTTTTTTTACCCAGTTCTAACGTCACCCTGAGCTCATGCATCTATTCAAGGATAATGATTCTTTCATGAACTGTTGTGGAATGACTTTTAGAAACAGCATTAAGTGGTAATTGTTTCCTCTCCACATCCACTATTCATTAGATTTGATTTCCACAAAATGGCCGAAGTCTCTGACCAGCTATACGGGTTTAAGCTCAGAAGTCTGAAGATAATTGGATAAAAGGAATGGCCACTTGATGTTTGCAGGCAGGATTGGAAAACTATAGTGTTGTGGTACTTTAATTTCCCTGATACGGAATTATTCAATTATAAAACTAGATAGGTAGTTTCATACCCATGGAATGCCTCCACCCTATGGAAAAAGAAACTTGGGGAGGGGGCATTTGGGAGCTGTCAGAGAGATCCATGATGCTGTTTACTGGATACATATATTTTCTTCTCCCACCTTATTTCACAACAAGCTTATTAAGTAGCTGTGGAAAGCACCATGCTTTCTCAATTTGGCAAATAACACACTTTATTTTGCCAAGGCAAAAACAGCCTAAAAGCAGTATTTATACCAAGAACTGGCTCCAGTCTGGGCCCAGATCCTTTCTCCCTGGCCCCCCCTTGGCCCATTCCTGCCAGACAGGGCTGGTGAGGCCGGGGCGGGGTGAGGCCAGCAGGTGTCCCAGGTGAGTGGCCTACCCCCAAACCTGCCTGTGTTGGGGTTCGCCTCATGCAGTCCCGGCACCTGGACCTGGGCAGAGAGCAGAAGCATTCAGGACACGGATCAAATCCATTCCCTTAAGGAATGAAAGTTTCCAGGGCAAGTGAGGAGAGTTCCCGAAGCCCCTCTCCTTCATGAACTAGGGATTTGAGGGAATGGCTCCTCGGCGGTCCCGGAAGAAGGCTGGACTCTGGAGTGCACCTCCAGGGCACTCAGGAACCTCGAAGCCGACGGAGAACGAAGCCGGCTCCCTCCGCCCCGCAGAACTACTTTTTCGCTTCCTCCCAACCGCAATGGGTGGAGGCGTCCGCGTGGGGGAGGCGCCACCAGAAGGCGGAGGGATCCCGGTGAGGCGGCTTCCCGAGGTCGGACCAAGAAGGCCCGAAAAAGTCGGCGGGGGAGGGGACGGCTCCGCTTGCTCACTCGGTCGCTCGCTCGCGCCCGCCGCGCCGGGGCCGGGAAAACAGAACCGGAACCGGAACCTGCGCGCGCGCCCGCAGTGGTCGCACGGCCCCTCAGCGCTGGCGGCCTCCTCCGCCCTGCGCGCGCGTTCCCGGGAGGGCCCCTCAGGACCCCGGCGAGCCGGCCGTGCGCGCGGAGCCGCCGCCGCCGCTCGGGGGCCGGGCTTCAGGCCGGGCCGGACCGGGATCTTCCGCTCGTTGCGGGAACCGCCGCCCACCGGAGCGTCTGGGAGGAGCCGCGGCCGGCGTCCACTGCGGAAGAGTCGCGGCCTCCGAGGGATGAGCGGCCGCCCGCGGCGCTGAGACCTGGTCCCTGTCACCCCAGGCTGCCGGACGCTCGGCTCCCTCACCCGTGCGGCTCGACGGGCGCCCGGAGCTGCCGGAGGCGGCGCGGAGCACCACAGGGACCCCCGGCCCGGGGACATGGGGCGGAGCGAGCCCGGCGCCCGACGGCCGGAGACGCGGCCGAAGCTGTGGCCACGAGCGGCCGGCTGCCCCAGATAGAGAGCGCGGACCCAGGGCCCGGCAGACGCCCGTGCCCCTGCGGACCTCACCTCGGACTCGGGTGGAGCGACTCCGGGTTCCCTTCCCACGGTTCACGACTTCCCTGTGTGACGAAGTTTGCTCCCGGTGCCTTGTGGAGGATTTCTCCGGGCTCTGGCACTCGCCCTCTGGCCGACTTGCTCGGTTTAATTTGGGGAGATAACTTGTTTTGCTCCAACCCGCATCCCCTTACCTTGATCCCTTCCTATCGGATGTTCTAGATGACTGAATGGAGTTTTGAGTTGGACTTTTGTGTCCCTGCCGGAATTGGGTCTGATCCCAGAGCACTGGGGGTGGGGTGGAGGTGTTCCTGTAAAATGCAAGTTGGATAAAAAGAAGACCTCTCGCCAAGGGCCCCAATGAGTGGCACACAGTCTACTATCACGGACAGGTGGGTAATAGAGTGCGTGCCTTCTTCCCTACCCCTCCCCTATTTGGCCCCACGCAGCAGGGGACTCGCTGATTGCAGATTTGCCTTCGGCTAGTGCAATTGACAAGCGTAGGGAAGAGGCTTGTTTCGGAGCTGTGCAATTAGTCTAGGGCCGCTGCCAAGTTACCCGGTTGATTGAATTTGGAAATGGCAGTTTTTCGGGAGAGAAACTTTCCCCCCTGTTCTCAGAGGAAGGGGAGGGGAAACCGTGATTGTGGTTTTCTGTCGTGTGCTTTCCAATTGGGTTCTCCTCGTGGAACCAGAGCAAGGTCGTTTTGGGTGAAGGTCAGAGCCCGAGGTTGGTGGGTATTGGTGCATCATCTGGTTTACGCCTATCTGGTGATAGTTCTAGACACCTGCATTTTAGGAATTCCTGCCTGGGAACCTCGTTTTCAGCCTGCTGAGTGGTGATTTGTGAATTTGATCTCTTGTAAGTGTTGGCTTGCCCAGTGTTTAATTATTAATTACCTATTAAGTTTCCAGAATGTTGACATTACCAGTAAATCACAGGCTCTTGCTGGAGATAGTATCCAGGAGCTGAAGGAAATGAGGGGAAATAATGGGGCCTGCTTTTAATTATTCTTTTTTGCATTTCATCTTCCAGAAACCCTGGCATGTAAAGGATAGAAACCCTATGTCTGGATCAGGCATGGTAGATGGATTTTGTTCTAATCAGTGTTGCATGGTGATGTGGGTAGACTGTGTGGTCCAAGTCGAGTTCCTGACACTTAAAAGAGTTATTCTTTTGAGTAGGTTAATCTATGAAGGCAAATTAATTCCTTTAGCATATTCTGTCTTAATTTAATTATGACATTCAGTTCCATATTTTAACTTGTTGTGTTTTAAAAATCACCCTTCAAATTGTTATATCATTAAAAAAAGACCAAGTAACTGAAGCAGATGGCCAAAACTTTTGAAAAGTGGGATAGCAGTGCTCTGTCAGAAAGCTGTTTAATTCCTAATAAGAGAGTCTCTATTGTAAGACTCATTTGTTGATTTTTAAAGGGGCCAAATTCCATTATCAAACCATAACAGCTACTCCAGAAGCCGAACTTCCTTTTCCTGTTGATGCTTTCCAGTGTCACATGAATGTTCACCTAAAAGATTCCATTCAATATTTAAACTGCATTTATTCTGGGATACTTTGTTAAAGGAGTTTTCATTTTCAGTGAAAAAATTTCAGATTTTCCGAGAATATACTTTATGTCTGAGTGGAGAGGGTACTTTTGTTCTTTTGTTTTGTTTTGGGCCTTTCAGGGCGTTTTGTTTCTGAGAAGTCACTCGTGGATGCATGGATGACTGTTTTGATGGTTTGTTAAATTCTTGCCCTTTTTGAGAATGGTGGGCAAGTATCTTACAGGAACTGCTGTAGTCCTGCTTTTTATTGAGATATTGAGGTGTTTAATTTGTAGAAACAATTTAGAGCCATGGAAACATTCCACACATGTCATATAAAAGCACCCACTTAAGGATTTTTTTTCAGTTTTGCCTCTCAGATTTTCCTTCTTTTTCTAGTATCTTGGAAATAAAATCCTGAGAGTTGTGTCTTTTTTATAACAGCATATGAATATTCAATAACCATAGAATAAAAAAGATTTTTTAAAAAATGTATAGCTGTGCATTTTTGTGTGTAGATGTGTGCATGTGAATTGCATGTACCTGCAGAGGCCAGAAGGAAGTTTCAGATCCCCTGGAGCTGGAGATACAGGTTGTTATAAGCTGCCTGCCATGGGTGCTGGGAACCAAACTTGGGTCCTCTCAAGAGCAGTGTACACTCAACTGCTGAGCCATCTCTCCAGTCCAATCTTTATGCTTTTGAGATGGGTTCTTACTGTATGTCTCTAGCTACCACAGGTTCTTACTATGTCTCTGGCTACCCGGTACTTGGTATCACAGGCTGTAGCGTCCCAAATGGTGGCAGTCCTTCTGCCTCAGCTTACAGAGTCCTGGGTTTGCAGTGGTGAGCTCCTACACTGCAAGTTGCAGTTATTGAAAGCCTGCTCTTAGATATTTACATAACAACAGATATTTATGTAACCACAGTAGATGCACATTATATGAAGTCAAGTGTTGTAAAGTGTCTTTTAACAGGGCTGGGGGTGGTGGGGGTATTATGGGAGTTTGAAATTGATGAAGGGAAACAGTTTCAACAAATGTTAATGCTTTGTGGAGGTTGGGCCTAAATGATAACTTCTCAGTGCAGGTGTCTACCCAGTTGCTTTAGACAACTGAGCCATTTAAAACAGGCCCACACAAAGTTTTAAAACCCATGTAAATCCTGTTCTTTGTCAGGCACTATGTTAGGCATGAAAGATAAAGGATGAGCATTAAAGATTTTTTAAAAACTTACTTTATGTGTGTGAGTGTTTTGCCTGCTTGTGAGCACACCAGTGTCCTGAAATGCCTACAGAGGCCAGAAGAGGGCATTGGGTCCCCTGGGACTGGAGTTATAGCCAGTTGTCAGCCCCCGTGTAGGTGCTGGGAACTGGACCCCATCCTCCCCATGCAGCTTATTTTTTATTTTTTTATATTTTGGCTTTTTGAGACAGGGTCTCCCTGTAGCCCCCAGTGGCCTGGAGCTTACTATGTAGGCCAGGCTACCAACTCATTGCCTCCCAAGTGCTGGGATTAAAGGCATGTGGCCACCAGGCAGCTTTTTAATCTTAAATCCTTTTGGGACTGGAGAGATGACTCAATGGCTGAGGGCAGTGGTTTCAGTTCCCCGCACCCATATGGCAGCTAACAACCATCCATAACTCCAGTTCCAAGAGATACAACATCCCCTTCTGACCTCCTCGGGCATTGCACAACACAGGTACACTAACATACATGCAGGCAGTATACTCACAAATAATAATAATAATAATAATAAACCAATTAGTAATGTGTATGGGTAGGTCTTTGAGACAGTCTCAGTCTCTGGCCCAGGTTGGCCAAACTCCGAACCTTCTAGATTCTTCTGCTGTAGTCTGGCAGAGTTCTAGATTGCAGCCATGTTCCACCACATTGGGGTTAGCTAGTTTTGTTTTTTTTTTCTTTTTTTTTTTTTTTCCTCTTCTTCAAAATGAGAATTACTATGTGAGCACTACTTTTCTTTAAACTTGTCTTATTCCATAACTATAAAGCAACTCTTTCTCTTTAAGAGAGTAGTTCCTGATTTGAATGTATGCTGAGGTGAAATCTGGAAGTACTGGTTTAGTAGTATTTCTATGCCAGAGCAACTTAGCAGAGTTCTTCATATAGAATAACTTCTAGCTCCCTCTCAACCCAGTGTGCCTCACTTTTTTCTCACTGTCTTACTCCAATGCATAGTAGGTATATTTTGCTGATTCTAGGACTGTTGGCAAATTAATACTGCCAGTGTAGCTTTTCAGAGACCCTTTCAAGTTTGAAGTACTGTATGTGGTATGGCTTTGTTCTGTAGAGTGTGCAGAGCCCTCAGGCCAGCTGTGTGTGTTGGAGTTCTTTCATTGTGGTGCTTCTGACTACAGAGTCTGTCTGTCCTCAGTTGAAGTCAGACTAGCTGGTTTGGGCGTTGTTCTGTTTTGCAGTTTGTGGCAGGCGACACATGGCTGAACAAGATAAGAAGGGTTTTATTCTTGTGTTCGCGACGTGCTGGGGCTGGGATGGAATTCAGTTATGTTTAGGCTCTGATTGGTCACTTTGGATACTTAGAACTCTGTTACATCCTGTTACTATTTTGCAGTTAAATTAACACATTCTTTTGCTCCCTTTTCTTGCCCTTACTCCTTAACTCCCCAGCTCCTACTCTTTTTTAAAACTTAAAACTCAGCCTTTGTTGTTTTTATGTAGTATATCTGTAAAGTTTTAGGAAAAAAGGTCTTAAGTAGTTTATGGATGCTTTCCAGATGCTTGCTTATATGATCAGAAGACTAGAAAAGGGTTAGAAATGACTGATTGCCACTTTTCAGTCTGCATTAATTGCTGTATTCAGACCGAAAATACATCCTAATTGTTTCCAATCCTAGCTGGCTTTCTTCTGTCCTTGAGAGTGGGAGAGTCTATGGCACTGCCATTTCTTCTAAGTGGAGAAGAGAGAATACTCTTTCAGTGGATATAGTAAATGATTTCAGGCTTGATGCTGTAACAGGGAGTTTGTAGGGGTAGTAGGGTAGGAAGGTCATCAGGGTCTTTCTTGAAATACATGGATATTTGTTTTGTCTCGGGCTTACCAAGTTTGTTTTTAATTTGTAGGCTGACAAAAGTTTTTGATGTATTGGGATTTTCTTAGCACTGAATTTAGCTTTAGGCTTAACTTCTAGGCAAACTTTCAAAGTGAACAGGAAAGCTGTAACTTCATATATTCAGTGGTTAGAATTATCATTCATGATTTTTTTCCTGCCAAAGTTGCCTTGTAATTCTTTTGGTTAACAACAAAAACAAACTTCCTTATGTTTGTGTGCTATTTTCAGCGAGTAATTTCATCTGTAAATGAAATTATTTGTAACATTTTCTTATAAAAGTAAGTCATTTTCAAATATAAACTTGAAAGTGAGGCTAAGGTGCTAGCTTTGTATTGTTTTTGTCGTTTCTTAGTTTAGACTAAAATCTTGAGTCCTCTAATTGTACAGGAATCATACAGTTTTACATAGTCAACATGGAGAGTTCAATACAATTTTAAAGCTGTAATGAATGATTTTTTCTAATCATGTGGTTATTAAATTTAAAAAAATTTAAAAAAATATGGAGTTAGAGTCTTCTTGATTAAAAGCTTGTAAGGTGTTCAAAACTATTCAATGAATTGACAAGGGAAACTTATTTGAAATATTTAGAAATCACAAATACATTAGTGGTTTACAGTCATTAACATAGCACTGTATGACACTGAGTTGACACACAGGTGGCTTTTTAAAGAAAGTGGGAATTTTCAATTTAAAAAGTGAAATTTGAGGCAGTCATTCATGGAGTCCATTAATGGTAAGTTCACAGATTATTCGGAC